ACTGCTCCTTCCTACCCCAGGGTGCCTTCCCGGCTGTGCCAGCTTAGTGTACTGATGTGGCTAAGGCTTCGCTGCGCTGCATGGGGACAGCAGGCCGGGTTCATGCACCAGCAGACCCAGCAAATCCATTTCTGCTTTGATGATAACATGCACATGGTGTGCAGGACTAACAGAGGACTGCTGCCCTAGGCATGGCAGCCCTACCCCACTTTCTTTGCTGGACAGGCAGCAAGCCTAGTGATTAGAGCATGAGTTGGGAGTCAGGACTCCTGGGTTCTATAGCCAGCTCTGTTACTGCCTCACTTGGGCATGTCACTTCCTGCCTCTGTGCCTCAGTTTCCCCATTTGAAATACAGGGTAAGCACACTGGAACTCCTCATCTCCAACCCCAAGCAGGGCCGTGAAGCCTAGTTCATGCAGAGCCTTGTAACGCTCAGGCGAATTGCTGCCAAGTGTGGCTTTTTCCCACACATCTGCCCCGCACCCCTCTTGTCTCTACTAGCTGGGATGAGAACTGTGCCTCCTCCCCCCTGGCTGCCCCCCATAGTCCATCACCCCATTGTTATGTTCGTGGCACACACCCAGAGACAGCTAAAAATACCATCTTGGCAGGTTGCAATATAAACCCACTTTCATCCTCATAACTCAGAACGGGAGCACACAGTAACCTGAAGTCCATGCTCAGGGGCCAACTGGTCGCCGTATTTGGGGTCAGGAAGGAATTTCCCCCCCCAGGTCAGACTGGCAGAGGCCTGGGGGTTTCTCGTCCTCCTCTGCAGCATGGGGCACAGTCACTTGCTGGTTTGAACTGGAGTAAATGAGGGATTCTCTGTAACTTGAAATCTTTAAATCAAGGACTCCAGTAACTCAGCCAGAGGTTCTGGGCCTAGTGGTGGAGCAGGTGGGTGGGTTCTCTGGCCTGTTACGTGCAGGACATCAGACTAGATCAGTGGTGCTTAGACTGCAGCTCGCGAGCTGCAAGTGTCTCTTTAATGTGTCTCCTGCGGATCTTTGCAGCCCATTATATTAACACAGTGTCATTTAATTATTAACTGATCTTAACAATTTCCATCCCACCATCAACTTCAGCCTGGACCAGTCCACACAAGAGATCCACTTCCTGGACACTACAGTGCTAATAAGCGATGGTCACATAAACACCACCCTATACCGGAAACCTACTGACCGCTATTCCTACCTACATGCCTCCAGCTTTCATCCAGACCAGACCACACAATCCATTGTCTACAGCCAAGCTCTACGGTACAACCGCATTTGCTCCAACCCCTCAGACTGAGACAAACACCTACAAGATCTCTATCAAGCGTTCTTACAACTACAATACCCACCTGCTGAAGTGAAGAAAGATTGACAGAGCCAGAAGAGTACCCAGAAGTCACTGGTAACCTCCTTCCAGCCTGACAGTTCACCTTTCAGCGTGACCCGCTGTAGTCTCCCCTTTAACCAGTTCCTTATCCACCTTTCAGTCTTCATATTGACCCCCATCTTTTCCAACTTAGCTAATAATTCCCCATGTGGCACCGTATCAAATGCCTTACTGAAATCGAGGTAAACTAGATCCACTGCGTTCCCTTTGTCTAAAAAATCTGTTACCTTCTCAAAGAAAAGGAGTACTTGTAGCACCTTAGAGACTAACCAATTTATTTGAGCATGAGCTTTCGTGAGCTACAGCTCACTTCATCAGATGTATATATGAAACAGATGAATATATTCATATATATATTCATGTATATATTCATCAGATGAATATATGAAACTGGTTAGTCTCTAAGGTGCCACAAGTACTCCTTTTCTTTTTGCGAATACAGACTAACACGGCTGTTACTCTGAAACTTCTCAAAGAAGGAGATCAGGTTGGTTTGAAACGATCTACCTTTTGTAAAGCCATGTTGTATTTTGTCCCAATTACCATTGACCTCAATGTCCTTAACTAATTTCTCCTTCAAAATTTTTTCCAAGACCTTACATACTACAGATGTCAAACTAACAGGCCTGTAGTTATCCGGATCACTTTTTTTACCTTTCTTAAGAATAGGAACTATGTTAGCAATTCTCCAGTCATACGGTACAACCCCTGAGTTTTCAGATTGATTAAAAATTCTTGCTAACGGGCTTGCAATTTCATGTGCCAATTCCTTTAATATTCTTGGATAAAGATTACCCGCCCCCCCCCCCCCCCGATTTAGTCCCATTAAGCTGTTCGAGTTTGGCTAATCGATGAGTCTCTTTAGACTTGGTATGGCAACACCCATTTTTCATGTTCTTTGTGTATATACACCGGACCCTCGCTATCGCCCGGATCGCTGTAGAGCAGATTCGCTTATAGCGCGGTCGCGGCGATGGATCCCACATTTAAATATTTAAATTGGGATTCATGACAATGCATCCCCTGCGTTAATGTGGGACCGCGCATGGATCCCAAGCCCCGGGCTATAGCGAGGGTCCGGTGTATCGTCATACTGTATTTTCCACCGCATGCATCCGATGAAGTGGGCTTTAGCCCATGAAAGCTTATGCTCAGATAAATTTGTTAGTCTCTAAGGTGCCACTCCTGTTCTTTTAACTGATCTAAGTTATTAACCAACCAGGATGCTTTTCCTATGCTATTAATAGGGCCCTACCAAATTCGCGGCCATGAAAAACAGTCACGGACTGTGAAATCTGGCTATTGGAGGGAGCTCGCAGTATTGCCACCTTTACTGACTTCTGTGCTGCTTTCAGAGCTGGGCGGCCGGAGAACGGTGGCTGCCAGCCAGGCACTCAGCTCTGAAGGAAGCACCGCCGCCAGCAGCAGGAAGGAAGTGAGGGTGGCATGATGGGGAGGGGAGTTGTCACTTTTTTGAGCGGGGGCAGGGCCAACCTTATGGGTGGGTGATGTGGGCGACTGCCCAGGGCGCCGTGATCAGGGGGTTGCTGTGGTCACCACGCAGCCAGCCCAAGGCCCTTTTAATCCCCAAGCGCTGGGGAGGGGCAGGGGAGGGGCTGTGGGCACCCCGGGGCTGGGTCAGTCCCACCCCCAGCAGCAGTGCAGAAGTAAGGGTGGCAATGCCACACCAGGCCACCCTTACTTCTGCGCTGCTGCTGGCAGGGCGCTGCCTTCAGAGCGGGGCACCCAGCCAGCTGCCACTGCTCTCCAGCTCTGCCTCTCTGAAGGCAGTGCAGCACAGAAGTAAGGGTGGCAATACCGTGACCCCACTACAACGGCCTTGCGACCCCGGCCCATGATCCTGTTTTGGGGCAGGATCCCCACCGTTGCAACACCATGAAATATCAGATTTAAATATCTGAAACCATGAAATTTAAGATTTTCGAAAGCCTCTGACGGTGAAATTTACCAAAATGGACTGTGAATATGGTAGGGCCCGAGTTATTAACCAATTAAGATATCAACTGGCCCTAAGTTATCAACTTATTTGCTGTGAGAATAATATAAATATGTATATATATATATAATAATGTATATATCATATAATAATATTCTATATCAACTAAATATTTCCCCATCATACTGTTTAAATATGAATAGTACTACAGTAAATGAAACCATGAATTCACACTGCTCTGGCTCTGTTGCGTAATGCTGATAGCTAATTTGGCTCCTGAACCACTGAGGTCTGAGTACATTGGACTAAATGATCATGATGGTCCCTTCTGGCCTTGAAGTTGAGGAATTTGTGAGAGACAAAGCAGGCTGCTCCCTAAGGAAGAGAGGCACCACTCACCCCACCATGCTCTAGGCTGGTTCGGGCCAGCCTGACTGCCCATCACCATTTGCAAGTTTCCCTACGAAGGCCCCTAACCTGCAAGCAGGACCAGGAACCCCTCCACCGTCACCCTCCACACTCTTAAAGGGATTGCTTGCAATTCAAGGACAGTCCTCAATACTCTGCACCCTTCAGACGCTGCAACGCCACTCCACTTGGGTGCTGATGGTTTGTGATTGGTCTCCCCTGAACAGTGAGGGCTCTCTGTATCCTGAGCCAGCTTGTGCCTCTAGAGTGGCTGGTCCATCTGTGATAAGGGCCTCCTGGAGAGAAGGGGCTTCGGCACTGGGGTGGGGAGAGATAACAGCCCTCAGACTTTCACTAGCAGCTACCAGCACAGGGCTCTTCATACACAGGCATGGACTAAACCCCTGACTCTCCCTGTCATGGCATCGGGGGAAACTGAGGCACGGAGCATGCAGGGGACTGCCCAAAGCAGAAGCAGAGCCGTGAGTAGAACCTGGGAGTCCTGATTCCCCCCACTGTGCCGCACCCAGCAGACCGGCCTGGCTCAGACGTTGTCAGAACAGGGTCTTTGATTTGGTGTCCACCCAGCGGGGACAGCCCAGACAGCAGCTGAGCAGCTCCCCACAGCCAGTCACACCGCAGCATAGACGGCACCAGGGCCTGGGCCGAGTCCCCGAGCCGTTCCCAGCCTCAGGGGCCACTCCGGGCCACTGCGACAGCGGCACCAGAGACGGAGAGTTGACATGAGCACTGCCTATGAATTTCCCTATAACCGTCTGGGGGATCGCCCGAGAGGGGTGTACAGCTGGAAGAGGAGGAGATGGGGGTGCGGGGGGGGGCGGGGTAGATGGACAGATAAATTGCTGGTGGAAGGATAGGCCTAGACTTAGTGCATCGTCCATTTCATGCGTTCCGCGCGCCCCCACAACTCACAGAGACCTATAACCCAAACTCTGCAAACAAACCCACATCTGTTCCTCTCGGGAAGTGCATAAAAAGCCCCGACTAAGCCCCTGAGTGTGGAGGCTGGAGCACTTCATTTATCACAGGCAGCTGGAGCCCAGGGGGACTTGATGCAGCCCTTTGACTTCCCAAACAGAGCTCTGCCTTACAGCCAACAGACAGAGGCAGGGGGCGGGGGGCGGGCTGTGTATATCATGACATTGCTCGGCACATTGCTGGGGGGGGGGTGAGAGAAAGGGGTGGGAGGAGGGTGGAGTTTCTCTTGACCCAAGATCCTGTTTCAACAAGTGGCCCTGTCCAGAGAAGGAGAGGGGTGAAGGAGGGAGCTATTTAAAGAAAGCTGGGAAGTCTCCTCTATTGACTGCTTTTTCCTTTCCTCCTCCTGCGTTCCTTCCATCCATCCCCCGGCGCCCCGGGCTGACAAAGATGGGGAAAGGGGTGAGTAGGACACTTTGAGTGCATTTTAAGGGGCTCGTGCTGGGAATGTCTTGAATGGGACTGAAGACGACAGTGCTGCTGTGGTAGAAAAAGAAGCGGGTAAACGAACCTAAACTAAACGCCACATTCCCCGAAGGAGAAGTGGGTAAACTCCGTCTACCCGAGTTTGCCCTCAGCTACGCGACGGGGGAACGAGGGACTGGAGAGCTTCCAAGTTTGAGACAGGAGTGAAGCAGCACCAAAGGAGGGGGAACGTGGGGATGTACCTTTCTGGGGCTTGTTTGTGCAGCTTGGAGGGCAGGCAAGGCCAGTGCTTAATATGTGCCAGGGCTGAGTACTGACACCTCTAGGCTTGGCAGTTCAGAGCCCCGGCACCTCTGGGCTTTCTGCATCAATTATGAATGTAAAAAAATTGCTTGAGCCCTGGCACCTCTTTCATTACAACTTAAGCACTGGGCAGGGCCCCCTGCTGCACCGGGCCTGGTCTCTCATTCCATAATTGCCATTTCCAATCCACCCCCTCCCCTTCACTGCAGGGAAACATTTTTGCAACCAAGCGAACAATCCGACGGAGGGTACCACTTACCAAACAATGTGACCGCTGGGTAAACAGCCCCCTCGCCAGGGCTGGGTCAGAGTCCAGGTGGGGGTGAAGGAGTTGGCCAGGGCATTGGCCCCGGGGATTATTTGGAGACGTAGGTTGCATTCCAAAAGCAAAATCAGCTCAGCTGTCCTCTGCATGCCACCGCTGGGATCAGAGAGCTGGCTTAGCCAGGAAGTTTGTTTGAATCAAGTGGGGTTCCCCGCTGGTGTTTTCAGCTCTTCGGGAACTTTTTGCAGCTGGTATTAAAAAATACCCCAACTGGTGCAAGCTGGCTCCGCTCCACTGCCCCTTAAACCTCCTTGGTTTCCCGAAAGCTGTTGAGACACGAATGACATTTTGGAAGGAGCAATCCAGCCCAGCCGTCAAACCCCCCTTGCATTATCACAGGTGGGCTTTGCCGCATTGTGGGGTAGTTTGAGGAGAGAGGGGCATGTGCCCCAAATCCCTTGAAACGCAGAACAAAATTCCTCCAACCTGCAACGGCAAACTCCTCGCTCTGCTTTGCTAATTAGTTCCCCAGAAGCTCAACTGCAGAGTGGGTTGATTTATTTATGTATGTAGAACAGCCAGATCTGTAGGAAATGCCAAAGCCTGGGAACTTTTGTGGAGCATGAATTCATTAACTAGATTTATACACTGCTCCTAACACACAACTCACGGGAACCTGAAAGAAAACATGGGGAAAGTGTGATACAGCAAACAGTGTTTAGAAGAAGGATTGATGAAGTGACAGTTTAGGAAGGCAGTGCGTAGACTAGGGAACTGGTAGTCAGGACTCCTGGGTTCTGGTCCCAGTTCTGGGAGATGAATGGGGTCTAGTGATCAGAGCAGGGATCTGGTTGTCAGGACTCCTGGCTCCAGCTCTAGGAGAGAGTGGAGTCTAGTGGGTATAGCAGCCCTGTCAGGACTCCTGGGTTCTGTTCCCAATCCTGTCACTGACTTATGGCGTGACCTTGGGCAAGCTACTTCACTTCAGTGTCACCAATTGGCTAATGTGTTTGTTCTCCCTCTGGTGAGTGGATCCAGAATTGATCAGTTGTGTATCCTAGACCCTATAGTGCTTGTGGAGATTCGCCTCTGGCTCAGATGGCAGGGGGGCTAGGCCTTGGAAGGTGTGGGTTCCATCCCTGCTGTGCTTCTGAAGCCCCATAGCTGGGAAGTTCCCAGATGATCACAGGTTTGTTATAATTTTCATTCACCTTTGAAGTTCCCAAGTGGGAGGCACCATGGAGGGGCAAAGAGGATTTCACAGGGTTATTTTAATAATATTTTTCAGCCAAGCAATTATCTTATACAGAAGGGAGAATGAAAACCACAGTGCCTGAAAAATAACTCTTCTCTTTAAACAGCTTCAATGGGGGAAACAATTTCCTGTGCCCACAGGAAGCACTCAGAATGGGGGGACAGCAAGGAGACATGCATAGGAAACATACAGGGCTAAGAGTGGTCATAACCCTACAATAAGTGCTGCTTAGGGGATAGAACCTGGTCTGCATGTGGGTGCATAGAACTGCCCACACAGAGCTCAGCACAGGATTAGAGCCTTCAATAGCATTTAGCCTTCTTTTATTATCCGGAGCCCTTTGAAGAGGCTTGCCATGTGACTAGCTCTAGCTACAATACTTAGGGATGGCTGAAAATTTTCCGGTGAAATTTATTTTCAGCTGAAAATCGGGTTTTTGACTCAATATAATTTTTTGTGCAAAGGGTCGGCTTGCCAGACATTTTCTGGCCGTTTCCTGTTGAAAAAACCTGAAAACCGAAATATTTTGGCCAAGAAAGCACTTGTTCCCCTTTTCTGAGCTCATTTTTCGTTATTTGAATTTCTGGTACAAAAAGATGATTTTCCCATGGAAAATGTAGATGAAAAGGAATTTTTGGTCTGTTTTCCTCAAAATTTTCCATGGCAAAACCACCCATTTTTTGAAAAGTTACATAAATACCGAATAACAACATCTTGCATTGATACAGCATCTTGCAAGAAGAGATTTCACAGCTGTTGCTCTGGTGACGCTTTTGGGGTCAGAGGAAACATAAATGAAGCAGGATGCAGTTTTTCACTGTTATTTCTCTGTGAGAACTGCCCCAATTGTCACATTTCTGTGTTCCGTGGCACCCCTGAAAACTTCACATCCGCAGCAGGACCAGAACTCTGATCCACCTGCTCCAAAACAACCCCTGAGCAAAAGGAGAATCCCCATTACCTAGGAGCAGTATGAAGCCTATGACACACAGCTAATTAGTTGGGATCCCAGCCAGTTGAAGGCAGTCATGCACAGATGCACTAGCCAGTTCATTGCACTGTTGAAAATGACAGCGGGCCAGATGCCACAGCAAAAGAAATATTACATGAGCGTACTGCAGTGTCTTCGGGGAGACTCCTGACTGGGGCTGTCGAGGGACCAAAAGAAATGTGACACCCCCCCCATACAGAGACTCCACACCAGGGTCATGCTGAGCCCAGTGCCCGCTGGGACAGGATTTGGGGAATTTAGACAGTTCTTGCTGGGCAGATGTGGCCCCTAAAGCTCAGGGTCTGGTGCCTCACTCACAACTCTCTGTGCAGCCACTCGGGCATGGCACTTGCCTGCCAAGAGATGCCAGGTAGAAAGAGATGCAGGAGGGAGGATGGTGTAGATGAGCCACAGGGTCACGTCTTGACCCCCAACCCTGGGAATCATTGGCTTAGGGGAGATCTATGGAAAGGCACAGTGGACAGGGCTCAGGTGGGGATTCGGATCCAAACTCCATCGTAGGTCAGGCTCTGGCTGCCAGAGTCTCAGGGGTGAGTGAAAGGACCCTATTGAAGGCACGGGACTCTTCTCGAGCCCCCTCCCCTTGAGACTCTTGGCATTCTGGGCAGACTTTAATTAAACCCCACAGCACCCCGTGTGGTCCCCTCCAGCTGGGGAAACCAAGCCACAGAGTCGAGCAGCGATTTGCTTAAGTTCTCACTACAAGTCAGTCACAGAAGTGGGAACAGAACCCAGGAGTCCTGTGACACTCTTTGCAACCACCAGGCCCTGCTCCCGTCCCAGAGCTGGGAACAGAACCCAGGAGTCCTGGTACAGTCCAGCTCTGTACCTTGGGCATGGTGCAGGTGTATGTAAGCTCCCCAAGTCGGGGCTTTTTCTCATCTGGCCCCCAGCAACTCCCTGTATAGGTCTCTGCCCCACCCAGTCACCTGGAAGAGGCAAGGCACAGCTGGGGCAGTGTGTGGGGGTCTAGGACCTGTAATATTCTTCCAGGCCATTGGCCCCATGTAAATCCCAGCTTGGAGCTCTGGGCCCCCCTCTAGTGTTCGGGATCAGAACTGCAGCCCCATGAGCATGGCTGGCTGAAGGAGCGAAACTCCTGTAATGGCCCCAATCCTGTGGCTAGTGCGCCCAGTGAGAGACTGGGGGTGGGGGACATGAGGAGCTCAGGATAGGGCCCAAAGCATCTAACTCACCTGTGCTACTGACTACAGGCAGAGGCTCGTTCTGCCAGGTCTCCTCCTGCTGCTCGACAGTCCCTCTATAGGGCATCGTTTGGCACTTGGAGGTTGTGAGGGAGGGGGCAGAGAGCTGGGACAAGGAGGGTGGGGTGATATTCCCAGAGATATACCAGATGTACCATGTCATGGTAATCCAGCCTCTACGACTGAAAGATAGGGGCTCCCACCTGTACTAGCCCAGCTTTGGGGGGCTTTTCTGCCCCCAATCCAGAGCCCCCAAAGCAGGACAAGGTCCATGCTGGCTGCTTAGGGGGTGGTGCTGGTGATGGCAGGGGTGGCTGGCTGTAAGTAATGTTCGCCTAACCATGGTCATTAAAGATCCAAGGCGGCTTATGGCAAGAGGCAGCGTGTTAACCTTGGAGGCCTTGCCCACACACAGATGGGCATGGGGTTCTGTTCCGCTTGGCTGCTGCATCCACCCCAGAGGGGGCTGCGTTTCGGCAGCTGGGGCAGCAGATCCTGGAAGGTGCTTTGGGATCTTTGCTGGGAGCAAGGGGTGGTCAAACAGAAGAGATTGCTCCTTAGCTATCTCCTCTCCGCATGGTGAAGGATCCTGAAGAGCCATGGAAACCACATGCAGGACTCATGAACCCTGGGAAGTGCCTGGGAAGTGCCAGGACTATTCAGCCCTTTATATGGAGCAGAAAGGAGGCTCTATTCTCCCTTCCCCATTCATGGCCTGAGAGACGCTTTCTTCCTTGCTCTCTTTCTTCCTACAGGGGGATTTTTGGCTCAGACTCTCCTCCCGTCTCTGGAGACAGACATGACTTCCCTTCCAGACCAGCACCCTCTGGCATTGCCCTGGGGTGGGTGCGGGGAGCCAGCTCCTTGCTGCCCTGGTCATAAACCCCAGGAAATCATTCCCTAATTGGATCTGCCTCACCAAGTCAAATAGGATCC